ACCACCAACAACAACAACACCAACAACAACAACAAGGTTAAGGCCGGCATGGCCCCCCCGGGGTGCGGGAGCGGATCCGCCGGTTCCACCACCGTGGAGAAGGCCGGCACTGCCCCCCCGGTCAGTCCGAAGGGGGGGGGGGGGGGCGAACAACACAACACAACATCCTAGGGCATCCTTAGGGAATCCTTAGGGAATCCCTAGGGAATCCTAAGGAATCCTTAGGGGATCCTTAGGGAATCCTTAGGGAATCCTTAGGGAATCCTGAAAAATCCTTTAAAATCCGTAGGGGGTCCTGAGGGAATCCTTCAGAATCCCGAGGGACTCCTGGAGGAATCCTTAGGGCATCCTTCAGAATCCCTAAGGACTCCTGAGGGAATCCTTCAGAATCCCTAGGGGCTCCTTAGGGAATCCTTAAGCATCCCTTGGGCATCCTTCAAGAATCCTGAAGAATCCATGCGAAGTCCTCCGGGAATCTTCAAGAATCCCCAAATAATCCTTCAGAACCCCTAGGGAATCCTTAAGACTCGCTGGGGAATCCCTAGGGACTCCTTAAGCATCCCTGAGGAAGCCTTAAGAATCCCAAAGGAATCCTTCAAAATCCCAAAAGGAATTCCGAAGGAATCCTTCAGACTCCCTAAGGAATTCTTAAGAATCCTTAGGGAATCCCTCGGGGATCCTTCAGAATCCTCCAGAAATCCTTACGAATCCCTAAGGAATCCTTGAGATTCCCTAAGGAGTCCCTAGGGAATCCTTAAGAATCCTTAAGGAAGCCTTTGGGAATCCTGACGGAATCCTTACGGAATCCTTAAGGAATCATCAAGAATCCCTGAGGGATCCTCCGGGAATCCTCCGGGAATCCTACAGAATGGGTAATGAATCCCTCGGGAATCCTTAAGAACCCCTGGGGCATCCTTCAGAATCCCTAAGGAATCCTCAGGGCATCCTTAAGAAGCCGTAGAGACTCCTTAGGGAATCCTTAAGAATCCAGAAGAATCATTAGGAATCCTCAAGGAACCCTCAGGGAAACCTTAAGAATCCTTTGGGGATCCTGAAGGAATCCTCAAGGATTCCTCAGGGAATCCTTGAGAATCCTTAGGGAATCCTTAAGGCATCCTCAGGGAATCTTTCGGAATCATTCGGGAATCCTTGAGAATCCCTCAGGAATCCTTAAGAATCCATAGGGCAACCTCAAGGAATCCTTCGGGAACCCAAGGAATCCTTAAGAGTCCCTTAGGAATCCTTAAGGAATCCTTCAGAATCCTCCAGGGAATCCAAAAAAGAATCCGTAGGGAATCCTCTGGGAAGCCTTAAGCATCCCTGAGGAATCCTTTGGGGATCCTCAGGGAATCCCTTAGATTCCCGAATGAATCTTTAAGAATCCTCACGGTATCCTTAGGGAATCCTGAAGAACCCCTGAAGTATCCTTATGGAATCCTCAAGATCCCCTAGGTATGCTTGGGGACTGCTTAACACCCCCTAAGGTATCATTTGGGATTCCTTCAACACTCCGAAGGGGATCCCTAAGAATCCTCATGGAACCCTTAAGAATCCCTAAGGTATCTGTAGTCTGGGTATGAGTTGTGGTACTCGACATACTAATGGAGGTGTAGCAGTCGTCGTAGTAGTAGTAGTAGTAGTAGTAGTAGTAATAGTAGTAGTAGTAGTAGTAGTAGTAGTAGTAGTAGTAGTAGGAGTAATAGTAGTAGTAGTAGTACTAGTAGAGTAGTAGTAGTAGTAGTAGTAGTAGTAGTAGTAGTAGTAGTAGTAGTAGTAGTAGTAGTAGTAATAGTAGTAGTAGTCGTAGTAGTAGTAGTAGTAGTAGTAGTAGTAGTGGCAGCAGTAGCAGTAGTAGTAGTAGTAGTAGTAGTAGTCGTAGTAGTAGTAGTAGAAGTAGTAGTAGCCCAAGAAATTGTAGTAGTAGTAGTAGTAGTAGTACTAGACCTGGCAGTAGTTGGCGTACTACTACTAGAATTCGTAATAGTAGTGGTAGTAGTAGTAATCATAGTGACCGTAATACGGATACTAATACTAGTAGTAGTAGTAGTAGCAGTAGTAGCAGTAGCCGTACCAATAATAATGCTAATAGTCGTAGTAGTAGTCATCGTAATAATAGTACAAGTGGTATTCGCAGTAGTAGTAGTAGTAGTAGTAGTAGTAGTCGTCGTAGTAGTCGTCGTAGTAGTAGTAGTAGTAGTAGTAGTAGTAGTAGAAGTAGTAGTAGCAGTAGTCGTAGTAGTAGTAATATCAGTACCAGTCGTCGCAACAGTTCTAGTGGCAGTGGGAGTAGTATTAGGAGAGTGTTAGT